CTAATTTAATGAAAAATTTGTTAATTTAGGCTTCAAAACTACACTCCTAAAATTCAAGTTGGATCATACCACATCTAATCCCATTTTACAGCCACAGAACACTACTATACCTTACTGTTGGCTAAAACATCAAGTCCCCACCCCTCAAATCTTGAGTGCAACTCGTGATTTTTTAAGATTAGATCTCTGCAAATTTTTAAATTTACAACTCAACATACTATTTAAAGCTATTTTCCATTTATTACTTTAAAACATTAAAGTTATGTATCTGTGGGCAAAACAAACCAACTTTAACATTTAAAATACTGTATGTACAGTTTGTCTCAAAGGAGAATACAACCTTCTCTTAAAACAGGAAAATACTTAGAAGCATATTCCTCGGTCACGCTAAAATAAGGTCGTTTTCTTGCCTGATAAATCTGGTACCTCATTATCATGAAACTGTATTCTGGACAATTTACTTGTAAGTTGTTCCCTTGAAACTGCCTGACAATAAAGATGTATTGGTATCTGCTATTTTAACATCATACTCTTGCTGTACATATATCTAACAGGAAATTACATTTGCTATAATGTGCAAGGTACGGGGTATTAAGAACACTTACCCAAAACTCATAATGCACACAAGTAAATGCTGTGAAACTCTCAGTGACCTCGCTGACTTTATTCTATAACTTCACTGGTATAAAACTGGCCTGACTTTACCTTTTCATTAGAAAATAAGATCCACTATCATGGCATTCTCCCTATTGATTTGTTTGCAAGAAGCACAGCTACTTATCACATTCATTTCTATAAAAGCAACACAGATTTAAGATTTTCTTCATCTGTAAAGAAAACTTCTTGCAGGGCATGAATTTTGCATGTTCGTGACTACAGCTCCAATGCCTAAAATAGTGCCTGGCATACTTAGTCACTTTAGAAATATTTGTTAAATGAATAAATCGAATTAATAATTACAAACAAAACTCAACTGCTTCTGTCAGAGTTTTCAGCATTTGGTAAAGACTTCTGCTAAAATTATGAATTCCGTGTAATATGTGCATGTATTATAAATTTAACAATTACAGTCAAAAAAATTTGATCCCAATTAAAATGTCTTGGTATCAAAAATCTCAACACCACCA